GGGGGAAAGTGGTATTCCTTTCCCATGTGACGATCAATCAGGGGTGCATCTACAATTTAGAATTGATACAGTTAATCACTTTTCTTGCTTTGGCTCAATGGTATAGTATCACAGGAGTTGTAGCCTCTTTATTAGACAGTGCTTTTGCCTTGCCAAATTACAACTCCCATGGTGCCATACCATTGAGCCACGGCAACTAGAATGGTATTAAACTGCTTTAATTCTAGAGTAATTCTAGAGGCATCTTTAGCCATGATTTGTATCACTAATCATATTGGGGAGAGCTCTGTTTTTGTTCTGGCTAGGAGGAACCTCAGGTCTGAGACTTCTCTGAGGACTTAAAACAACTTGTTCTTATCAGTTATACCTTCACTACAGGAAAATCACATGCAAATTGCCCTTTCACTTAAAAGCATTCTGACTATTCACTGGAGATGCATATCTGCCATTACTCTCAAGCAGGTTCCTCATTCTCAACAATGAAGGTTTCCTATCTTTTGATTTCACTGTTCACGGCTCCACTGTGTGAGTATCATCCAGATCAATGGAGACCAACCTTTGATCCTCCAGGTGTTTTGGACTCCCAGAAATCCCAGCTAGCTTACCAGCTGTTAGAAATTGTGAGAGATGAAGTCCAAAACACCTAGAGAACCAAAAGTTGGGAACCACTGTTCTAGATAAATGCAAAGAATGGCATGTGCTCCAAGTTTATATTATAGTAATGTTTATTTTATTCTTGTCTTTAGGTGTTCACTCCAATGTCCAACTTGTGGAATCTGGGCCAAATATTCTGCAGCCTGGGCAATCCCTCCATTTAACGTGCACTATTACTGGAGATTCTGTGAAAAGTACTTACTGGGAATGGGTTCGTCAACCTCCTAGAAAAGGACTGGAATGGTTGGGCCAAATAGTCTGGACTGGCAGCACATGGCGCACATACTATAACCCATCTGTGCAAAGTCGATCCACTCTCACAGCCGATTCCTCCAAGAATCAGTACTATCTGGAGTTGAGATCTCTGACAGTTGCAGACTCAGCAACTTATTACTGTGCTCGAGGAACACACTGAGACAAAGCAAAGAAGGAACTGCACAAAAAGGGAAGGCACTTTCCCCCTATGGGATGGTTGCACATGAGTGCTAGGAATGAGTGGAGGATTGCTAAACTAATATTTTAGACAGTTTTTGTGAACAGAAAATAACATGTGGAGGTTTTCAGGGAGTTTGAAATTTGGATCTGTGAAATGAAATTCTTTGCAGTCACTGAGCAGATTCTCCATCACGACTTCTTCACATGGGGCTAAATTTGGCAGCATGTGCAGTTTTAGCACCAGTCACCCACTGAGCCTTCTGGCTCCCGTCACATGATGCTGACATGGCTCTGTGGGTAAAGGAGGGCAGAGCCAATGAATGCTACCACCAGGGCAACACAGGACAGCTCCTGTGTTGCCATTGGAATGCATGGGGGGAAGTCGCATGCAACATGCATGCTCATACTTCCTCCCACCTGATTGCCTTCGCATGCAGGGCATGGGGCACTAGGTTCTCCACACCATTCTATGAAGCAGACCAATGCTGGCGGCTATCTGACGAGGTAATAAAACCTCAAATTGCCTGCCAAAATACAGAATTGGCCAAGGTTGCAGTCATGACAGTACAAAAGACAATGGGTCTCCCTA